CCTTAGTCCGCAGGCCGACGCTCTATCCACTGAGCAAACCGGTTAGGGCATCAGTACATTTCTTTTTACTGTTACATGACACTGGCATAAGCCATCTGTAATACAATTTCAGAACTGAAATAAAAAGGGAGTTGTTTTGGTTAGTCTATTTAAATCTTTTTTTTTTTTTTAACATATATATGTTTTGGAGACTTAATCTGGATATTTCCTGGTATCTTTTAGCTCGTGGTCTGGGTCGATCCTCTGGATGGCACCAAGGAGTACACGGAAGGTTGGTACCTCTTTCCTGTTTGTATTGGGAGCAGGAGGACTAGCCTGTGATGTTGAGTGTAAACATTTACTGTTTCTTATGTTGTGTGAAAAGCCGGTGTTATTTTTTATGTGTGTGTCCTAAAGCTGTGTTTGTGCCCATCCTAGCTAACTGTGGTTATACATCAGTGATTGTCATAAGATACAGAGAAAATTCATCTCCTTCTCATACCCCCCCCCACACACACACAGTCTACCAGCCCCCCAATTCTAATGGCCTTACGTGAGAATAACTAGCATTGAACCAGTGTTACCACACTGAACCCCAGCTTTGTTGGTGTAGAGCCCCAAAGAGAAGCCCAACCGTACTGCCCTTGTTCTTCCACTGGCCCTCCCCCCTCACCGCTCCCCCATACACTGTCCCCTCACTGTCTTTCTGTTCTGCCTCACCTTTAAAGATGGGTTTGGAAACACGGTGCAATATTTCTCTCTTCTGAAATTATTGAAGGTGAGAAAGAGAACAAAGCAGCAAATTAACATAAAATGGGCAGCATGAACGTAAGCAAGACCAGGCTCAGAGCCCAAGTTTCAGATTTTACGAGCATAACGTAAGCTTTGAGTTTTATTTCTGAACTAAAGAGCTCCCTAGTTTTTCTTACGTTGGTTCTCAGCTGCATGGCTTGAGAAAAGAAAATTTCTCATAATTACTAGAGAAAACTCCTTCTCTGTCCTTGGAGGAGACGTATCTGCAATGAGCGAGTCTTGCGGAGTGTGTGTTTGCGTGTGTGAGCACGTGTGCATGTATGTGCGTGTGTATGTATGTGTGTGTGTGTGTGTGTGCACTGAAGACATCTCCACTGAGGGCAGCTTTAGGGTACACACAGCACCTGCACAGCTTGTCTACATCCCCACCTCCCCCACCTCTGGAGATTTTGATTCACTGGTTCTGGGAAAGGGCTTGAGAACCTGTATTTTAAAAGTGACTCCAGCAGGCAGGAGCGAGCTGGACGGTGGCAGAGGGGCACAGGGATCCAATGATATGGCTGTGGAATTAGGGCCGGTCAATTTAATTGGTTTTCAGAGTGTCCTAATGAGACCAGGTGTGGCAATCCAGCGACGTGGCCCTAGACCCCTCTTCTCTCTCTGGCCAGCTCTCTTATAATTTGTGCATTTTGCCAGAAGTTGGATTGATCATGGATGAATCACCGTGGATTCCATACCTTTACTGCAAAAATAACCCGCAGCAATTCACCTGCCGATGACGAGTCATGACATGAAAAAGTTACATCATAATCGATACTCATTTCTTCTCTCTAGGTCTTCTTGACAATGTAACAGTCCTGATTGGAATTGCTTATGAAGGGAAAGCCATAGCGGGAGTTATTAACCAGCCGTATTACAACTACCAGGTAGGACTGTAACGGGTACAGTTGTTCTTTTAATGCAACAAGGACAGAGGTTATTTCAAGAGGCAGCCAGATGAGACGGGGGAAAGCCCAACCCGCTTCCCCCAGGCAGATGAAGGTTTTGAAGGAGTTGAAAAGGGGTCTTTTCGTGCAAAGGGAGAGGAACCCAACAAGTCTAGAATCAGGTAAAGGGAGTTAATGATTTGGTCTCTGGAGGGCAGTTTTCACAGGACTCCCTTCTGCATCGCCGTGGCGTGTGATGTCTGAGGAGTCATCCCCTAGACTTCTTGGAATCTTCTGGGTTTCCCTCCATATTATCTTTAGATTCAGTCTCCTGATTCCCGAGGTTGCAACAGACAAGTCACGTTTCAGCATCTCCCAGCCTCAGTGGCACCTGCTCACCTTTCTTTCCCACTTGAATCACTTCTTCTGTGGGAAGGCAGATGCCAGGAAGCAAGGCGACTCGAGCAGGCTATGGGGGGGTCCAGGGGTCAAGGAATGGAGGACTCTGGCCAGTGACCAGTGCGGATGGAGGCCTCGCCGTGCACCTGGCTGTGCTCTCCTGCTCTCTCACACAGACATGGGAGCTGGGCTGAGGCAGCCAGCAGGTTGATGTTGCCCACACATGGCGGCCCCCACCCGCAGGGAGGTGGCGGGGGAGCCACACACAAATATTTTATTAGATCAGTAATTATAGTGTTATATGGTCCCTGATATTATCTAGTCTAATGGTTTCCAGCTCAGTTGCACGTGCATTCATCTTTTCAAAATACACCCCAGACCTGTGGAATCAGAGCTTCGGGGGGCATTGGTACCAGGGATGCATATGTCATACACGCAGCGCAGGCCTTAACATTCAAATGCAGACGTTTGGGGATTACTGATGTGGTTCTGGATTAGCCTGGTCATTGAGACACCTGATTTACAGGTGGTCCTTCAAGCACATTGAAGAAGTGAGCCATTCGAACCGAGAAAGATGCTAGCCATGTTGTTTTCCAGGTAACACTGCCTCGCGCCTAAACTAGAGTCAGCGTTGAAGCAGAACTAAGTACGCTCCTGCACCCTTTCTCTTACTTTCTCTCTAATAGGGTTGGGCTTTCTACTCTGCTCCCAAGAAATTGTCTTCCTCAGAAGCAGAGATTAATGTGATTCCAAAGCAGGAATAGATCATTAGATCACATTAAAGTTAAAGGAAACAATTGAGATTATTACTTCAGGTATTGACATGAGTCTGACCTTGATAGAACGTTGGAGAAACCAAGTAACCAGAGTGAGGATTATTCCTTCTGAATTTCCAATTTGAGTTAAGAGCAAGCATAACCTCTACCTCTAAGATAGTTTTGTTATATTCTACCATTTGTATGATAATACCTATAATCATGTTCTTATTAGGATTATTTCACAAAACTAGTTATGCATTATTGGTAAAGTTTCTCATATTAAGTATCCACTAAGTATTTTACTGTGACTTTAATGTTTATGTAATATTTTATACAGATACAAGTTTGTGGCTGCTATGGAAACTTTAACACTGTTACTTGAAAGGGAGACATTTTTATTCCTAGATAACATGGTAATGCATGGCACCTTTCATCCAAAAAGGATCTGAGTGCTTAGAAGTTGTGAATAACATCCATCCCTTCCATCCCTTCTGAGATTAGAAAACTTGTATTCATTTTCCACAGAACAATGAAAAGCAGAAGTTAAGGGAACGCAGGAAGGAAGCAAAGGTGAGAAGAATAGCTAGGGTTTTGGCTCCACTAGTTGGCAGCAAAGAGGTAGGAAACCTGTGTTGCCAGCCAGTCCTTGTCGAGCCCACGCAGCCGCCCATCTCCTCCTGTCCTGTTTCTCCCCTTCGTCGCCTGTCCCTTGACCACATCCCCTTCTGTGTACTCTCGTTATCCTTTCTTCCTTCCCTCTTGCTTGTGCCTTGAAATATGTTGCAACAAGGAGAAGGTTGCTCAGCTCTGTTGATGGTATGCAAGGCTGAATATTCAACTTTCAGTCATCATCATCATCATCACCATAATAGCTCAAATGCATCAAGAACTTGTTATATCCTACCGGCCTCAAGGGGTTCACATGCATTATCTCATTTAATGCTCACCATCATCCTTTCACCTTGTCCCTGTTTTATTTTTTAAATATTTTTATTGCTTTCAGAGAGGAAGGGAGAGGGAGAGAGAGATAGAAACCTCAATGATGAGATAGAACCACCAACCAGCTGCCTCCTACACACCCCCTACTAGGGATCGAGCTCCCACCCTGGGCATATGTCCTTGACTGGAATCGAACCTGGGACCCTTCAGTCCTCGGGCTGATGCTCTTTCCACTGAGCCAGATTGGCTAGGGCCCTTGTCCCTGTTTTAAAGAGAGAGAAACCAAAGCAAGTAACTTCCCTGGGTCACCCAGTTTGTCGATGGCACGTCTGGGATTCAAACCCCAGTCCAGCCTCTTACCGATTCCTCTTTTGAGCCGGATGAAAGACCCTTAATAGTTAAAACTCCGTTATTGCTTCTAACAGATACCGAAGCTGGTAGGCAGTTGAAGGAAACACTTGGCTTAGTGCAAAGAAACCCAGTGCATCTTTATATGGGCACTAGCTTCGTAGCCATTCTGAGATTTAATTTAACTCATTGGTAAGGTGAAACGAGTGGCCTCATTGCCCCCAGAAAGTTGGTGGGGAGCCTTTGAGGGAGAGAGACAGTGAGGAGACGGCGACCAGGAGCACAGAGGAAGCTGGCTGGCCGCCTCATGGGCCTGCATGGCCCTGCCCACCAGATGCCGGATTCCATGGTCCCGGACTCTTTGCCTCCATATTCGTTTATGTGGCCCAGAATATTCATTTTCAGGCCCAGAATACTCGTGCCCATTATTTGTGTTTTAAATATATTTTTATTGATTTCAGAGAAGAAGGAAGAGGGAGAGAGAGATAGAAACATCATTGAAGGGAGAGAATCATTGATCGGCTGCCTCCTGCACACCCCCTACTGGAGATCGAGCCCGCAATCCGGACATGTGCCCTGGCCAGGAAGCGAACCGTGACCTCAACCACTGAGCCACACTGGCCAGGCTCGTGTCCACTATTTGTATTGCTTTTCTTTCTGCTTCAGAATAACGAAAGCTAAGTAAGTCGGCTTCTTGATAATTCCTCTCAGCAGTCAATCTGAGGCCCACTGAGCACGCAGAGCCACCACTGAGCCCATCGGCGTGTCAGGCCCCAGCCTCTCTGGTAGTGCAGGCTCCAGGGGCAGAGTCCCCAGTGCTGGCCCTGCGGTGCCTTTGCTGCCCCATTTGCAGGGCATGATACCGGCAGGCAGCCTCCAGGGATTGCAGGCCATGATATTGTTGGCGTCCTCGGGGATCGCTCACCTGCAAAGAGCTGCCTCGCCCAGTGGCACGCTCCTTCCCCAGGCAGTCCACTTCCCGTGACTGATGAGTGCAGGACGAAGGCCTGGCGTTGCACCCCAGTTGGTACAACCCTGAAGGGCCAGTCTAGCTCCAGAGCTCCCGTAGGGCCGGCAGAGGCTGTTGTCGGGTCTGTGTCACAGCTCAGCTTCCCCCTCTGTCCACTCGTGCTGCCTTCCCTCCCTCCCACGGGTGTTGGTCCCAGGGGCACTCCACCACCACCATCCTACCACCTCAGGGTCCTGCTGCAGGACACACGGGGTGCTGTGTTTGAAAGCTTTTCGCAAGTAAACTGAGGCAGTCCAGCCTAATGCTGAGGACTGTCGGCTTTGAACCCAGAAGAGCCTGAGTTTGGTTATGATCTTCCTAGAGTCCTTGGTCAGGTTATCTCATGGTTCCAATCTCTTTTTTTCTGGTCTGAAAAGTAAGGATGATAACACCTACTTCGTGGGGTTGTTTGGGAGATTAAATGAGATACTACATGTAAAGCACTTAGTATGTGTCCAGTATTCAGTAACATACTTATGTCTGTATGCCTACCATATACTAGTATGTCTATTTTCTATAGTAATAAAAGCATTCATATGCTAATTAGACCGGACAGCCGAACAACCTTCCAGACGAACTTGCATGAATTTCCTGCATCGGGCCTCTAGTGTTAAGTAATGGTCTTTTTGATGTCTTTGCATTAATCATTTTATGCATCAGTTTTACTTGGCATGCAGTACCGGTTATGTTTTTCTACATGAAAAGTGCATAGTCATAAACGATGTGGTGGAAAATGCTTCGAGCTCTGCAAAGGCAAATACAGATTCCAAGGCTGCGTCATCATTGTCATTTCACTACCACCATTGCCAGTGAAGTCTGTGACCTTGACCTCCATTATCCAGGCTGCTCTTCGGTGTCGGCCTGTTCAGCTGTTCTGTCTCTATAGCAGCAAAATGCATTATCACCGCCGCCTAGGCCCATGTCGACAGGATCCTGCCTGCTTCTCGGGTATTGAAAAGCACTAATCAGTACATGGCGTTTCATTTCCCGGGGACTTCAGTGCCCTTTGCAAAGAGCTATTTCAAATACGATAATGAGCTTATTCGATGATTCAGAGAGCAGCAGGAATTAGCCTGTTTTCTCTCCCGAGGACTCCAGGGAATAACCAGACGTTCCCTTCAGTACCTTTGAAACCCAATTATCAACCAAAACAGCAGTGAGAACAACCCGCTGATTCCCTAGGGAAAATGTCTCTGTCGATGTTACTGTCTTTGTACTCTATAGCATCATCATGTTTTTATGATCTAACAGTTAGGATGCTATGACAGCTCAGTGTTCTATTTGTTCTGAGCTGACATGTTCTCCCAGTAATCACAGGCTGTGCTGGTGTTTCCTGTTTCCACAGGCCGGGCCGGGTGCTGCGCTGGGAAGGACCATCTGGGGAGTTCTAGGCTTGGGTGCCTTCGGGTTCCAGCTGAAAGAAGTGCCTGCTGGGAAGCACATCATCACCACCACCCGGTCCCACAGCAACAAGCTGGTCACCGACTGTGTCACTGCCATGAACCCCGACGACGTGCTGCGAGTGGGCGGGGCGGGAAATAAGGTACGAAACAGTCCCGCCACCCACTCGGAATGCAGTTGACTCACTGAAGGGAACACTGAGCTTTTAACTAAATGTCAAAGAGGAGTTTGGGAGGAGAGATTAAAGATTGTAATTTGCCATTCAAAGCACATTTCAGCAACATTTTTGAATTTTTTTTTTTAAATGTGCAGGTTCATTTTTTTTTTTTAAATATATTTTATTGATTTTTCACAGAGAGGAAGGGAGAGAGATAGAGAGCTAGAAACATCAATGAGAGAGAAACATCGACCAGCTGCCTCCTGCACATCTCCTACTGGGGATGTGCCCGCAACCCAGGTACATGCCCTTGACCGGAATCGAACCTGGGACCTTTCAGTCCACAAGCCGACGCTCTATCCACTGAGCCAAACCGGTTTCGGCAAAATGTGCAGGTTCAAATCTCTTGTGAAGACAGTGCAGAGAAAATATGTCAACTGGCTGGTGTTGCTAAGTGGTTAGAGCATAGGTCGGCCACCAGAGGGGGTTTGCTTCCCCCCACCTCCTTGAGGCATGTGTGGGAGGCAACCAATCAATGTGTCTCTCTCACCTAGATGTTTCTCCCTCCCTCCTTCCCTCCCTTCCACTCTCTTTGAAAAGCAATGGAAAAAAA